ACATTAATTTCCAAAATGAAATTGAAGACCAATTTAAATTAACTTTCGAAACATGTTCTAAATTAAAACCAAATGATAGACAATCACTTCCCCGCCAGTTTTATTCTAAAAAGTTTCTGGCAATTGTAGAAATAATGAACTCCTTCATTTTACCAAAATATCTCACAAACTCGATCTCTTTTGAAAAACTTCATACAATTATCTACTGTGCAGCTTTAACTTGTATTCAAATTAACACATGTAAAAATAACATAATAAATACAAACAACAATCACATACCCTCCACCCCTCATTGGGAAACACGGTTAAATTATAAAATTAATAACATTAGAAAACAACTGGGTCAAATAACACAGTACCTTAGAGGAGTTAAAACACCACACATCATGACATGTATGCATTCGATACTGACCAACAATAATTTTCATCAAACTGATTACGATGAGTACAACACAACACTATCCGAAATTAAAGATACACTATTACAAAAGCTTTCCTTATATAGCAAAAGACTTAAAAGATACAAACAATCACATCTCAGAAAAATTCATAACACTAAATTTTTAAACAACGAAAAACTATTCTATCAACATTTAACTAATTCAAGCAAAACTCAATTATCCGGTGAACTACCAAGTTCACAAGATGTAACAACATTTTGGTCAAAACTTTGGTCTCAAGAATTTGAATTTAACCAATCTGCCAAATGGATTCCTCATATATATAATAAACTATCCACAGTTACATCAATGAATGATCATCAGATAACACTTGCCGAATTAATAAATACCATCAATAAGACACACAACGGGAAATCACCAGGACCAGACAAAATCCATAATTTTTGGATAAAAAAATTAAATTGTGTACATATTCATTTACTACATCACTTAAATCAGTTCCTTCTTGACCCATCCTCTTTTCCAACATTCTTATGTCATGGTGTAACATACTTAAAACCTAAAGATAACGACACAAAAAATCCATCAAAATACAGACCTATCACATGTTTACCGACAATCTATAAAATATTAACCTCATGCATCACACAAAAAATATATCAACACTGTTTTAACTCTGACATCATTAATGAAGAACAGAAAGGATGTATTAAAGGATCCTTTGGCTGCAAAGAGCAATTAATCATAGATTCCATCATCTGTGAACAAGCTAGAAAAGAAAACCGAAACATATATACTGGTTTTATTGATTATAAGAAAGCTTACGATTCTGTCCCTCATTCCTGGCTATGCAAAATTCTGGAATTATACAAGATTGATACTAAAATCTGCACTTTTCTCAAATATTCCATGGAATTTTGGAAGACCACCCTTCAAATAACCTTAAATGAACAAACAATTCAGTCAGACCCAATAATGATCCGAAGAGGAATTTTTCAAGGCGATTCTCTTAGCCCGTTATGGTTCTGCTTAGCAATAAATCCCCTCTCCGATATCCTCAACAGCTGCAATTATGGGTTCAATATAAGAATTAACAAACAAAGAGAAAACAGAATAAGTCACTTGCTGTATATGGATGACATAAAAATATATGCAAGTACACAAAATCAGTTAACAAACCTATTAAATCTGACTGAACAATTTTCCGGTGATATTGGTATGTCCTTTGGTATTGAGAAATGTAAGACCCAAGCAATCAGAAAAGGCGTGTTTCACCAAGTACCACATATAACACAGAATAAGGAAATAATTGAAGCCCAAGAACGAAACGATACATACAAATATCTGGGTTTCTGTCAATCCTCCCACATCAATCATACCAAAACGAAAACACAGTTGAAAGATCAATACGTAGCGAGATTAAAATTAATATTGAAGACACAGTTAAATGGAAAAAATTTAATGAAAGCAGTAAATACATTCTGCGTTCCACTGCTAACATATTCTTTTGGAGTCATTAAATGGTCCAAAACTGATCTTGAAAATTTAAACATCGCAACAAGGAAAATCTTCACACAGTATAGAAGGCATCACCCAAAATCGTCGATTGAAAGATTCTCATTACCAAGACAGAATGGAGGAAGGGGTTTCCAGAACTTAGAAAACTTATATCAGAGACAAATTTCAGATTTGAAGAAGTATTTCTTGAAACGAGCGGAAAGAAATGAAATGTTTCACACCATCACAAGAGCAGATTTGAACCACACACCCTTAAATCTGTCGAACACCGAAGAAATCCACACCCCCCACACAATAGATAAAATAATAAGTGGGCTAAAACAAAAACAACTACATGGAAAATTCTACAAAGACTTAGAAGAAAATCATGTCAATAAGAAGATGTCATTGATTTGGTTAAAAAAATCAAGTTTGTATGCCGAAACAGAAGGATTTGTGTTTGCTATTCAAGACCAAGTAATCAATACCAAGAATTATAGAAAATACATCATCAAAGATCCGAACATAAAAAACGACTGCTGTCGCCTCTGCAAAGCAAAACCTGAAACGATCCAGCACATAATCTCTTCTTGCAGCATCCTAGCACAAACTGATTACAAAGCTAGACATGACAACGCAGCCAAAATCATTCACAAAGAATTAGCAACACTTATGAACTTAATCGAAGATACGACACCCTATTACACTTACATTCCGTCTCCATTCCTTGAAAATAACAAATACAAATTATACTGGGATCGCACAATACTTACAGACTTAAACATTACAGCTAACAGACCAGACATCATACTTATCAAAAAACACACGAACGAAGCCATTCTTATTGACATTGCTATTCCTAACACAAACAACATTATTCAAACATACGACACCAAGATTTCAAAATATCTACAATTATCGATAGAAATGAAATCCATGTTGAATCTTAAAAAAATTTCAATTCTACCCCTAGTTATCTCTAATGTAGGTGTAGTTCCAAATAGCTTAGTTGAGAATTTAAAGTCTTTGCATTTGAATGATTCAATAATTGCCAAAATTCAAAAAGCTGTTTTGTTAGAAACATGTCATATTGTTCGTAAGTTTCTTGAACAGTCTGATCATGTCAGTCAGATTAGATTAGCACCAGTAGGTCAGAGTAGTTTAGGTCACTTTTCATGTGATGCGCGGATAAATGGTCGGTAGTTACGCTGGACTTTTGGGGATGGGGTGAGATTAGAGAATAATAGCAGACTAATTTGTATGCTGTAATTCTAGAATCTCGAAAGTTGTTCTGTTAATCTAATCAATGCATATCATTACTTGGTCTTAGTACCCGTAATGATAGAAGTCTTGCCTGAATGCCGGTCATTTCCGGGTCAGTGGTGGGTCTTAATAATAATGAAAGGTGGGTGGTGGGGTAGTATCGCTGTTGTGCAGGGCTGTACTGCGCAAGGGTGTAATCCGTACTGCTAATCGTCATAAACTGATTAGATAATCTGCAATAATTCGTTGAATCCATTTCTTATCATTACTACTGCGTTTGACCTGATCATTGATACGTGGTACCGAGTCAGTTGTCAAATAATGTTAACAGAACTCTGAGAGATATTGAAAATGTAACAATTGATGAAATGAGCCTTGATATGTCGAGTTAATTTAATTACCCTTCGTTTTCCTATGTTACCTAACTGACAACTCGGGGTAGTATGTGGGGCCGGTGAGGGCGTGCATTTTCCCCCTCACCATTGCACAGTCCGGTACTACCCGTGTGAGTATCTGTTGTAGCAGATAACCTGTTGTCGCAGGAGTTGAGAAATTATGTGTCCGTTGTCGCGGACGGAGTTGCCACTCGGACATCGTGCGTGTCCACAGTTTATTCCCTTGATGCCCGTGGTCAAAGAACTGTTTTGGCACCTCGTGCGCCTTTTCCCTTGGTGTCCCTGCACTCTTTGGTACTACCCTGGGATAGTAACTGGAGCAGGGGCGTTGTACGCCTTTTCCGTTCGCCCCATTGCACGACTCACTACTAGTTGCCATTGTCGATAGCGAGAGTGAGTACTTCACGCGCCTTTCCCCTTAGTACTCATTGTTGAAATAATTGTTAAGTAAATAAGTCTTGTGCAGATCATAACAAAATGGTACGACTGAACTTGTTGATTGTTAATGAATTAAAACACACGGACTGGCTGTTAATAGATACATATGTATCGCCAAAGTAGGAGATCGCATCCGACAGTATTGGGGATCGATGGCTCATACCCCCCTTTGGATTTTCGCAGGTTGCGTAATTGTTGATAAAACCGATTCACCTCGACACTGGCCCAACTGACAAGGAAATAATTGCGATTACTGTGATATCGCCTTTGACGACTTAGCAGTCAGTTTATGATTTACTTAGGTTCACCATTTTAGTAAAGTACAGAGCGTCAGAATTTTGTTCTACTCTTTTTTATAATGAGCTATCCTTACTGTTCTATTTTTTTTTTTTTTTTCTTGATGTTTAGATATATTTTGCAGGCATACGTTGTATTTAATTATTTATTTGTAAGATAGACTACTATTTACTTTTGTTTTGTATTCTGTAATTGGAGATTAATCTCTGTTGAGTACAATAAATTATTATTATTATTAAAGTTGGAAATGCAAACAAATAATAGTTATATCGATATCATCATCTTCATCTGTTTTCTCTCCTCTCTCTTTACAATACGATCAAACACGTAATATAACGGGTAAATAAATGCTGTTAATTGTTATATGCTATTAATAGTAAAATGGGACCGACACTGCTTTATACGTTCGTAAAGTGTAGAGTTCAAGACATTGGTCGAGTTTAAATGGAATTCTGTCCTTGAATAGATGATATCGGTCGTGTTATTTTTATTTACGGATTACTCGTTTTGCATTTTTAATAAAGTGGTAAATTACAGTGCCTGTAATTTATTAACTACATTACATAAGCAGTGGTAATTCCCCGCGTGGAGAAAGTATCACTTACTTTTTTTTACACAGTAAACGAATGATTTTAAAATTAGAGCAGTAATATGAGTGAAAAATGTTCACACGTCACAACTCTCCACTATCAAATCATGTACTTTGGATGCAAGGTTTGTTACGGAACGTATCCCCAGTACTCTTGGATTCACAGAAACGTTGGGGAATTCCACGTTGTTTAACATAACATATCAGCAGCAAGACATTAATGTTTTGCACATTTTGTTGTTGTATTTTTGTTTGTTACAATGTCTGAAGCAGGGTCATTCCGTACAAATGTTGTTAGATTTGTTACAAATTTGGTGGTACGGTATATGCTGGCGAGTGTCGTAGTGTATTCGTGTTGGATAGCTATTGCAAATTACAATTACTGGTTTTCATGGCACGTTATTCTGTGTACTTTTGGGGTAAGTGACACTATTTACTTGTCAAAATGGCTGCATTAACCATGTTTTTTAAACAGACGAATCAATAAATCTTTAAATTACAAATGAGTAGTTCAAGCATTTTTAAGTTGTATTTCCAAAACAAAGTTAAAATTTTTGGGTCATATTGTGAAGATTATAACGTCAAGGACGATCTTATTTTTTATCGGGTATTTTAAAAGAGGGAAAACCATGAATAGTTGTGGAAACTTAAACACAGTTGATGCAATGGTTTGTAATGCGCACGTTAAAAAATATCCTTCGGTTCAAAAATATTTATGAAAATGTTTCGTTCTGACGTTATGTCAGTTTTTTAGATTATTATTTATTATCACCTGTATTAAAAGAATAAGTACAGTTGTTATTCGAAAAAGATGCAGTTGCACAAACAAATGTCAGTGCAATTCGTTTGCGAAACGTTTTTGAGGTTGTAAGGGTCCTCAGAGATTAATTGTATAATCTGGGTTCAGATAGTAAAAGATCGCCCATTTCATGTTTTATGTCATACTGACATCAAAATTGAGACAATATCGTACATTAGGTGTGCAAGTGGTAACTATGAAATATGTACATTGAAGTTAGCTTCAAATTTGGTTTTAGATTCTCTATTTCCGAGCCATTTTTTCCTATTTTTGACCTTTACTTACCTAACTTCCCATGCGTAAGCTAGAGCGATACACTCATAAATTTTCATAAAACAATCTTTTGTGGTAACTTCGATCACAATAGACCACGTGAGTTGAAAATCGAATAAATCTTTTCAAACTTCTCAAATTGAAATAAATATGTAATTTTAACAATGGTATCCAAAAGTTTCTAAATAGATTTTGGAGAAAAGGTGCTTCCTGAGATTTATTTTCTCCAATCACATTTCAATTTTTTGCCTGCACTGTTTGATGAAATCAGGAATGAGTAAAGTACACGATTTCATGAACACATTGAAATAATGGAAAACCGCAAAACCTTGATCGAGTTGCTGGAATAATTCAATCATAGTAATTTTCTGTTAGATGTTATACATTCTTGCAACGAAAATATTACGACGAAATTCTAAAATTCTAGCATGGCAAATTGTTGAAAAAATTGCATTAAATTTTATTACCATAAAAATAAAACAGCTAAAACAATTTGCGCTTCATCGTCATTATCACTTTTAAATTCAACTTTTTTCCTGATTCCTGTTGGGAAGCGTAGGCGTCGGAGACCGTTTCCGTCCTGGACGTTATCTGTACGTCTTCAACTCACTCACAATGACAAATATCGCACGCGATTAATTTAGTATTTAGGATAAGTAATCTGCGTGCTTTTTTTAAACAAATTTTAAAATACACCATATTCCAAAATTGTTCATAACTCGTGTAAGTATGAACCACCTATTTTTTATTTTTTCAGATGATTCCTTTGATGACCGAAGCACTTATGCTTTTCGCTCCTGATGAACTGTGGACAAGACAACTGACTAGAACTCAAAAGTATTGGATCCATGGTTTTTTAATGACTTTGGGAACTGTGTTAGTCAGTGCCGGGTGTATTGATACATTTTATTATATCTCAGATGGTTATCATTTATACACAGTACACGGAATCACAGGTAGGTTTTTAGAAAAAAAAAGTACAAATTACTAAATTTTAATTTGCAGGACTGATATCAATGATTCTGTTTATGTTGTCAATAGTTCTGGGATTTTTAGCTAATTATTCACAACGACTGACGAAATATGGAAGGCCAGTTACGTTTAAATTTAATCACAACATAATTGGCCTGTTAGGTTTTGTAATAGGTATAGTGAGTTTGTGCTATGCGTATTATACTAGGTGGTTTGTGTATTTTACATCTGAGGAATCAAGGATTGTTGCTTTAATTGTGACAATCATAGGGAGTTTATGGACGATGAATGCATCTTTAGTGTCTGCTTATAATCAAATTAAGACTTTATTAGGGAGATAGCTTTTCATTTTTAAAATTGTTGATTTTTGATGTATTTATTATTGAGATTGTATTTATAGCGCCTATATTACTTAACTTGGACGTTGAATGTGTTAAGAATACTCCTAAGTTATACCAATCTCTCAGAACTAATGTTATAAATTACAATACAAATAAAATTTGTTGAAATTAAATATTACGTATGTAATTTCTATAATACATATTAAAACACATGTTAATTATTTTGTTAATAAAATTAGTTAAATAGCACAGTCCCAATATTTCTTTGTACCTTTATTTTATGAAGAATCATTTCGTTTGAAATAAGTAAGAAAATTAAAATTAATTTTTGTAAAAGCTATTCTAAGTCATACATAATTAATTATATTATTTTACAAATAATAAAAATTAGAATCGCCAACAAACCATAATTCTAACAAATTAATAAAAATACGATGACAGTATCATCTAAAACAATAGTTGTCACGTTTCTGATAACAGGAAAGTTAACAACTTTGTAGAAATTAATAATCTTTCAATTAATATGTTCTAACCTGAACGTACGTTGTGCAAAATGTACGATTTGGGATCAGTTACTAAAAACGTATCGAGATTTTTACTTAATTGGTTAACCAGAAATCTTCTTGCTGGTGTAGTGGTCTATTCTTGTTTTCTTCCTATAAAGTACTACAATTATTGGTTCTCATGGCATGTAATTTTGTGTACTCTAGGGGTAAGTTCAATAAAACAAATGCACTTTTGCTAAATGAAACATTTATTTGAATGAAAATAACATATTTGCATATTATTTATGTATCTGAAATTTGTTTTCCAAAAACTTAAATACTCAAAGCTGCAGATTGATAAATTTTAAATACTTTTTTGTCACTGGGTTCACTGGGACACAGATTATTTGATATTTGTTGTTGAATACATGTCGGAAATAAAACTTTCCCAAATTATTGAATCTTAGATATATGTTCTATAATGTTGCAGTTTGAACAAAATATTTTTGTGTACTATTTACCCTAGTTTTTTCGTAGATATTTGTTTTCCTTCTTTTTATATTTTTGTCTTACGTACGTAAACTATTATCTCTAAAAGATCACTCATGCTCCGATACCTTATCCTGTATCAATCTTACGCTTCTGTTGCCGTTAATTTGTTGTTGCGACATGCCCTATTTATAGACAGTTATTGATTCTGTTTTGTTAGTAGACGTAAATTAGATTCAAAGATCAGATGAGGGAGATAAAAGTATGAGTATTTTTTATAAAAATCAAATACAGATACTACGGAATCAGTGGTGGATTAGGGGCAGATTAATATAGGGTCATCGAAAAATTTGAACCTGATAATAATGAAATTCGCGACAGAAGTTATCTTTCCTTGACATTATTTAAGCTGCAGCTGCTTTCAAAAATGATTCACCAATTTCATACAACCTATCATAGATCAAATAGTATTAGTGGTACACGTCTACCTCTAACATACCAACTGATACTTTCAGCTAATTATTCTTAGTAATGTCCATACAAAAAGATGAGGGATATTAATTTACTAAACGACTATTACTTTTTTTCTTTTCTCTTTGTAGATGATTCCACTAATGACCGAAGCTCTAATGTTGTTTCCATCGGATGAGTTGTGGACCACACAAACGACAAGAAGACAAAGATACTGGATACACGGGTGTTTATTTCTTCTAGGAACTATTTTAGTTAGTGCGGGGAACATAGACACATTTTACTTCTTAGAAGATGGTTATCACCTCTACACAATACATGGAATAACGGGTATCTCAAGCTAACTTGTTCGTCTTTTAGTCTGATCTGTACTTTTAGGGTTGATCTCCATGATTTTATTTATACTTTCCATTTTCCTTGGACTTATGGCAACTTACTCTCAATATTTAAAACATTATCTGCGTCCTGTTTGGTTCAAATTGGCTCACAACTTTGTAGGTCTGCTTGGATATGTTGTGGGAGTAGTTAGTTTGTGTTATGCGTATTATACAGACTGGTTTGTGTTCTACACATCTAAAGAATCTCGACTGATTGCATTAATTGCAACAATTTTGGGAACGCTGTGGACCATAAACGGCTCACTCATGTCAGCTTATAGTCAAATTAGAGCGTTACTCAATTATTAAATTGCTGTAACATTCTATTTTCGTTTATTTTATTATACTAATAATAATAATTGGTTAAAAGCTGAAACTGTAACATTTTCTGAAGATTAAATAAACACTTTCCCCAATCGTCGCTCTACTCGTTTTAGGAATTAATAGTAATAATATTAATACACCATGTCCAGGAAACCGAAAATTTCAACTGTATTTAAATTGATAATCTTAGTTGCTACTTATTTTTCAAGACAGATTCATATACAGGGAAGACGGAAGAGTGATCTAATATACATTGGATTGGATTGATTGGCCAATATATCACTAGAAATTCATCGTGAATTAACGCGTACTTATAGTATACCTACGTGAATCAAATATTGAGGCTATATTATTATAAGTACAGCAGATTAGGAAAGATTTTGATCTCCATTTATACTAATGATACAAAAGCGCCACCTTTTGCGATCTTTTGCTAAGTAGTGGTTTTCTATTGTTGGTGATATCTGATTTCGAGAAAACTTAATAATCGGAAAGTTCTACGCCATAATTGGTTCACAAGTTAACTTAAGAAAATGAGAAAAGTATTATCTTTTCTAAAGTCTATAAATTGAATGAAACTAAAGAACTGAACTCATTGTTAACAAATTGCATATAAATATAATCTAACAATTAAGTGTTACTATTACTAAAAGCAAGTTAACGATATATCCGAGAAAACGAAATAATTCTAAAGACAGTTGTTACCCATCACTAACCCGGGCATGACCGGCATTCAGGCAAGACTTCTATCATTAAGGGTACTAAGAGCAAAAATGATATGCGTTGGTTAGATTATTAAAACAAAAAACTTTCGTGGACCTACAGTTACGGCACACAAGTTCATTTGTTATTATTCTCTAAATTCACCCAATTCCCGAAAAAATAGCGTAACTACCGATCGTAACAGCTCATGAAGCCGTTAGGATAACCATTTTACACATTTTCCACAGTGCAGTGTAGCGACTTACGTCAATATGTTATGGGGGTACCACTAGAAGCCAGTAAATTATATTAGTGATGCAAAAGAAAGCTGGAAGAATTCTCTGTAACTTACAGCCTCAACAAAGTTGCTGAACATGTTTCAAAAATGAGAAGATATTAACATGACGTCAGTCTAGCTACAAATGAACGTGCTCAACTTCATCTATGAAACTCTATAGCAAAAAACCTTTATCGATCATGAGCATTTCATAAGACATCGTAATGCTCTGGGAGCCTCTGTGTACATTATTAAATAAAACCCAAATTTATTTGATTTTGTTGGAATCAATTTATGTAATAGAGTGGGAATTTTTTTTAACTTTGAACATATAAAAGAAAGTATGGGCTTAATCCTTATGATCAGTACACGTATCAATGCATTGGAAGTATGCAAGCAATGTTACTCCAATAAGAAATTAAATGTTTGAATTATTGTTGTAAAATATTTTACAGAAATGTAAACAATACACGATGCGTCGAATATAAACACCACTAAAGAAATAGAACAAATTATATTTTAACGGGGCAAAAGAAGTTGAATATCTTATGCTGTGCAGAAGAAAAATCATTGTCTTCATTAATTTCATTCCAACTATTTTAGTATTTCTTTGTTCTACATTTGGTCTGTATTTTTTTACGTAACATTGCTTGCATACTTTCAATCCATTGATGTGTTCTTCAAATTGAATATAGGGACTTTATGGTGTATGTGCAAAGTTAAAAAAATGTCCCGGTATATCCTTTCGAAAGATATTCAAGATTTGCCATCTTCAATTTTCAAGCGGAGAATAAAAATCTTTCGCAAAATATCTTTTATTCGATACAAGAATTCTTTGATGACAACTTGCTCCGAAATGGTGTATTTCGAAAATTGTTATAAGAAAATAAATAGCATAAAAGTAGTGCAAAATAGACATGAAATACCCCTCCTATTTCGAGTCCACCATGTTATTATTTTAACGGATAAAAACTTTAAAGGTCCTTTCTCTCAAAAAAGATCAAGATTTTAAATTTGCCCACATGTTATTAATGAACTATTTTAAATTTCGAGTGAAAAGTTATGAAGTGAGAATAAATATATAATATCACATCTTAGCTAAAAATCTATCTAGAACTTTAGATATTGTTACTAAAATGAGTTAAGCCTGAATAACTACCACGTGTTTTACGTGGCCGCAAAACCATGAACGGCAAAAAAGTCTAACATGAACTGGGAATTTAATTATACAGTGAAACCAAAATACAAGTGCTGACGCACCCGTCAATAGTTGTCCGGCGTTTCACACTACAAAATCGTTAATAAACTGACCTTACACTAATTGTAATTGTACTCATTGAAAGTGGTTGTGGCGTCGAAGACTATTTACTTTTGTTTAAGTAATTGCCCTTTTGCAAGATTACATACTAGATTTATTCGAACCTCTTTTAACACGTCTTTTCACTGCACCACCAAAATAACCAGAACTGAGTCAAATGCACTCTGCAGTATTCTACCTACTGTGTATTCCAAACCCTTAAACTACTAACTAACCTAAACGCAATAAAACGTGTGTGATTGCCTACCTTACTGGAATGATTTTAATTTTTCAAATGCGGTTTTGCTGCGCTAGTGTTTTCGGCGCGAAATTAAATTTTTAAATCGGAACACCACAATTCATTTTTTAGAATTTCTTAGAAACGCAATCTTTCATCCAAAAGTTTGGTGACTCTTATTCTTTTTACCAATAATTCCAGGGTGGTTCGCTTTTAAATTTTGTACTTTTTGATCCAAAATTTTTGAGATTAAGGGAGGCTGTGATGAGCACACGTAGGAGATGATAGATAGAGAGCTAAAATAGAGGGCTAGTATGTTTAAAAAAAAAATTGGATAAGGAAAATTGTCGGATAATGTAAAAGTTTTTGATAAGGGGATGAGATGCCATAAAGATCATTCTCCAAAAATGGTACGTCTCTTTGTTTTTAAAGGATTCTTTTTTTAGAAAAAAATCGGTTCACGGCTGATTACGGAAAGCAACAAAATTTTGGCAGGATTTCTCAAGAAAAAGTTATTATTAAAATATAATAAATACGTTACATAACAGGTCAATAAATGCTAAATTGAGATAATATAGGAGTAAGGATGGGTAAGTTCGAGCGGAACTCTATTTACGAATAAGTATATGGTATTGGTTTAATTGTTTTATTAACTTGTTGTTCTGCATTTTATATAAAGTAAGTAGTAATTTCCATTTCATTATTATCGAAACTGTATGCGGCCGACAAAGATTATCACAGAAGATGTCTCCAGAGAACAGGAATTCACAGAATTGACGGGAATTCCACTTTGTTTAATATATCAACAGCCATAAATTAATGTGGTGCATATTTTGTCGTTTATATACATTTGTTACAATGCTTGAGACGGAGTCTTTGAGAAAGAATCTCGTTAGATTTGTTACAAATTTGATAGTTCGATATATGTTGGCGGGCGTTGTAGTGTATTGTTGTTGGACAGCAATTATGTATTACGTTCATTATTGGTTTTTATGGCACGTTATCCTGTGTACATTTGGGGTAAGTTTAACCAACGCTTTATCCAGTCTATTTGTTTGTCAAATTGCTGTTGATATTTAAAGTTGTAAAAATAAAACGAATTTAAAAATTTCGTAGCGCATAACCAAAAGAAAAAAATTATTTGGAAAGATCTATTATAAAAATGTACCTCAGTTTATCAATGTACAGGGTGAGTTACTAAGTGCGCGGTCTGCGATATCTCATTAATTATTATTAGAAACAGAAACAAAAGTTAGACCAAAGTTGAACGGTTCTTGGAGAACTATACCCTAAAACTATTTTTCACTGCACAGAATGTTTTCTTTATAAGGCGTAACACGTAACGTAGTTTTTTTAAATGAAACACTGTATATATTTTTACATATTCTCATTAGCTTCTTCCTAGGTTTTATAACTACAGTTTACTTTTGAAATTCCCATGCGACGTTGCCAATTTTTTTGGCAATCACAAAAAAAATTGCAATAGAGTTATTTCTAAAGGCTGTTCTATAATATTTTGTCGAAGAATAAACAGAAGCAATCATTTTGTTGTGGTGATAGTTAAATCAATTTAATATACCTACTGAGTGGTTGTAAAAAAAAATCCGTTACGCCACACTGTAGAATTTACATGATGTTAAATTATGATTTAATTCATGTGAATGGCTAAATTAAAAACGAGCTCATCATGGACTCTTAGTACGTCACACAAAACAAAGCACATACAAAAAAACACAACAACGTACCTACGTGATAAATACGGCCAAAATTAAAATAATAATTCGAGAATAAATGTTCAAATTCAGTCTGTGAGAAATAATTAGGATGTAAAAGAATAAAAGAAAATACAAAATACACATCTGGAGTTAAAAATCTTAACATAAGTAGTGAATTTACAAACAATAAAACAAAAATTTCACGTGTTGATGCAATAATTGAAGTTGTACAGATTTCATATTAGAAAATCATTAATAAACATATTATATTAATAATTACACTCGTCGAAGGGGATCGTGGTTTCGAATGAAACTTAATTTTTGTTCAGACAGGTGTCCTTTTGTAAAATTACTAAGAAATTCTGTGTAGTGTATATTTGAAAATTATTGTCGACGTAGATCGCTGTGAAAATTCTAAACAAAGTTGGTAGCAAGTCAAGTACTTATATTCGTAATATTAAAATTACTTATTTCACTAATTTTTCTAGTATAAGCAATGTCGTTTTTAAACGAAAGGGAACGTGAATCAGTTTGTCCTTGTTATTACGAACTTCTTTCTTTGTGGTTTGTTTTAAATCGTAACCTTAAACTGATAAAATTGACATCTTGTTATTTTTTTGGGTCTAAATCTAAAGTTGGGTTTGCACAATAATGGCCTACTAACATTGTTTAAAAATTTTTGTCAATGCTGCAAATGCTAATATTTCTTTAAAAAGAATATAGGGCAATTTGTTATTATACCAACATTCTTTCATTCTTGTGATTTATGTTTAGTAAATATTAGGTAACATATAACATTTCAAAATGGTTATCAATGCAGTAGGCCATAAAACCTAGCTTTAGATTTAGTTACAAAAAAATAATTAGTTCTCAATTTTATCAGTTTGAGGTTACAATTTAATATAACAAACCACAAAGAAAGAATTTCGTGATAATAACGACAAACTGACACACGTTCCCTTTAGTTTAAAAACGGCATTGCTTATATAACAAAACTTAGTGAAATAAGGAATTTCAAAATTCCGACTATACTTGACTTGCTACCAACGTTTTTAGACTTATATTATTTTTAGAATAATTTTTATACTCCAATAAAAAATATGTATTCATGAAATTACATACAGGAAAAATCTGCGTTTTATTGGAATGAACACCATTCTGACAATCTGTGCGTTTTGAATGCATATATACCCCGCTGTACCATTAGTATATTTAAAGGTCCATTTTTTTGTTATAGATGATTCCTTTAATGACCGAAGCACTTATGCTTTTCGCTCCTGATGAACTGTGGACAAAACAACTGACCAGAACCCAAAAATATTGGATCCATGGTTTCTTAATGATTTTAGGAACTGTGTTAGTCAGTGCCGGGTGTATTGATAATTTTTATAATATCTTGAAGGGTTATCATTTATACACAGCACACGGAATTGTAGGTAAGCCGTAAGAAGAAGTTAGAAAATACTCTTTACTAAAACTTAATTTCCAGGATTGATAGCAATGATTCTGTTTATTTTATCAATTGTTGTGGGATGTTTAGCAAATTATTCACAACGACTGACGAAATTTGGAAGGCCAGTTACGTTTAAATTTATTCATAACTTTCTTGGACTGTTAGGTTTTGTAATTGGTATAGCGAGTTTGTGTTGTGGATATTATACAAACTGGTTCGTAAATCGTACATCTGAGGAATCAAGAATTGTTGCCGTAGTTGTAACAATTTTGGCAAGTTTATGGATACTGAATGGATCTTTGGTTTCTCTTTATAATCAAATTAAAACTAGGACTTAGGACTCAGGGTGTCGTTTATTTTTAAGACTGAAAAATCGACTGATTTTTTATTAGTTAAGATGATGAATGTCTCCCTATCTGTATAGATGCCATCGACAATCTTTAGAATTGATCTGAATTTGAACAATTAAGATTGCAATGAGTATGGCTTCCAGATATGTATGCATGTATGTATAGTCTTTCAAAAACAATGTTGTTTATGTACATTTTTGTGAATGTAACTTATGCAAATTTCTTAACTAATAAAATACTCTATTATGTATTAAACAATATCAGTATTGCTTAAAAAAAACACTTTTTGTAAAATTGTGTTCAAGATAATAGCCACCATTCATTATAATTTATAAACAATATTTAAACCAACGAACAAATAACAAATTTTGCAAATTAATAAAAGTAGGACTATATTCTACAAAGTGCCACGTTTCGGACGATAAAAATTTCATAAGGTTTTTCAACAGTCCATAATCTTTCAGTCAGGCACTATTTTCTAACCTGAACGTACGATGTGAAAAGGGTACGATTTTGTGTTCATGTATTAGCAATTTTAACCATATTAAAACTTAATTTGCGTTAAATAACACTTGCCGAATATGCTGAATTTAAAATTAAAACAGTTTTGTTGTTTTCTAGAACAAATCAATAAAAATATGTAGGTACTATGTATTAGCTTTTATTAAATGAAGTGTCAATATGCAAGGTGTTTTACACACCTATTTATTATGTCATGCTACCGTGGGGTTACTTTTATATTTTGTAATGTCTAAAGCCGGAAAATTTAATTTAAACTCAAATTAATTTTCCCGAATTTATTCAACAATTTGAACCACACGAATGTTATATTTTTACCACCTCCACACACTACACCGAGTAATACTTTAAACCAAGTTTTATTTACACTTTCCACTTTCCTTGGACTTACTACACCTTGTTCTCAACACTTACCTTTCAAATTTCTACGTCCTGTGTAGTCCAAACTTGCTCCAGTTGTGTGGGTCTACTTTGGTATACTGTGGGAGTGCTTAGTTTGTGTTATGTACATTATATAGACTGGTTTGTGTTCTACACATCTAAAGAATCTCGACTATTGCATTTGTTGCAACAATTCTGGGAACGTTGGGGACCATTAACGGCTCACTAACGTCGGGTTATAATCAAATTAGAACGCCATGGAAACATTAAATTGCTATAACATTTTATTTTCGTTTATTTTATTATACTAATAAATACATACAAGCTAAAATTATAATACTTATTTGTAATGTCTATACTTAAAATTAATACAGTGCCTAAAAATAAGTCAGATTTTGTTTTAAATTAATTACACGTAACACACATTTTGGCAAGTGCGCAGTCGCGCGCTTAGTAGCGCAAATACAATTAAAATTAACAATAATTGTTTTTTTGTTGAAATAAATTTTGGCAGTGCTTTTCAAGCGAAGTACAATGAATAAGTAATCACGCACTCTTCTTAACAACTAGAATAGTTAGTGGAAAAACAATCACAGACATCTATAAATGTAAGAGTATTTCTATCGGTGATGGAAGAACAGTTGATACATTGGAGTCTACTGGGATTTTTAACGTATAAAAAATATATTTACAAAAATCGACTATTAACAGAAATAAATATAATTGAATGTAGCAACCAATGTATTCCACCTACATGCATTGTTATTGGAAAAAACATCACACACACATTATTTTACTTTCACTCGTACATCACTTTCTCTAAAATTAATAGAATTCAAAATCCTAATTTATTTAAAGTCAGTACTTGGGTTTTGACTACGCATTATTCTTCCAATCACAGATTATTCCAACAGATCTTGCTGTGCCCTCTTGCAGGACACACAACAGTGATTAGTGTAGTAAGGGTACTGACACAGACGTGCCTGTACTGCCAGGTAACAATTTCGGATTCGATCGATGCAAGAGCCTGAAAAAGAAAAAAGGACTGCTAGATTGACCACAACACGTACATAAGGTGTTTCATCCAAGACCGCCACCCATCTTTCTAGGATTTACATTTTTACAAAATAAATTGCTCAACTGTGTGACAACTACGTGTCTAAAGCCTTTGAAAACTAATATAAAACATTTTTCTGCCTAGGATAAGTTAACACGAATCAACTAATATAACTTATTTTTACTTGCCATTTCTATAAAGAAAAGAACATGAGTGGATAAGTTAAAAAATGTATAACTACGTCATGTTTTAGTTTCATTCTTAACTCGCCTGAATCGTGTTACAGATGAATGGTAACAAAATAAACAGTTATTATGCTCGTCACATCGAAATTTTCAACAAACAGTGGACGCATTTCAACAGTTATGCTGTCGTCTAAAATTAGATCGCAGTGTAGGATCCTAGAAGAGCAGAATATCTGTTGAAATGCTTTGACAGTTTGTTGAAGTTTTCGGTGCCATAAAGATAATAACATGTTTGTATTTGTTTATACTAGTGTCGGCACATTGCATGGCCGTTCTAGAAATCCACTGAATAATAGGTAAATATTTCAAGCGAGTAACACTACCAATTCTTACTGTGAGAGATGAAAATTTAAATTTGAAATTTTATTGTTATGGTTATGATAGTCCTTTTAAGTAAAATCATTCATTTTGGTTGATTTTTAGCGTTTTTAGGTATATTGTGTAAAGGAGAAATGAATTGTAATTGTAATTCCTTCTTACAGTTTTTAACATTTCGTACAAGAAAGTTCTTTAATTTTCTTTTTTAATTTTGTTACATAAATTTTGCACAGCTGCTACACTTGTTATTCCTTATTTGAGGAAATTATGAATATCAAAAACCCCAACTCAAAACATTCAAAACTATATAATGTAGGTATTCACCAACGTAACTACGACCTTTTTAGACTGCAGCAAACCATGGAAATCTAATTACTTGCTTAGTAAACAAATTGATAAGCTAAAGTGTCTTAAAAAAGACCAACATTTATGTCGATCACCCATTATGAATTTTATCAGAAACCTAACCATTGCTGCCAGTTTAAATATCATTAAGAAATATTAGTATTAAAAATTAGTTAAACATTAAGACCCATAAGTTAAAAATGATTTTTTCTAGTGTATTTTCACAAGAATCATGCATTTTTCCTTCATGCGTGTTCTGCAAACCTAAAATCATTTCCGAATGGTAAATGTACTATCTAAAAGTAAATCTTACCTACTGTACTTTAATTTTGAAAAAAAAAACAGCTAACTGCTTTAGAAAGATGGATTTAAGAATTGTTTAGTTCTTTTCACTTATTAATAACTTAATTCTACCCACTGTTCAAACTCAGCATCCACTACTTTGTTGCACTGAGCCGTCATTATTATCATTTTCTAAATAATTCTGATTATGAATAAGATGGATCGAGGTTGTTCTCAAACGACAAATTTGCCATGTGTTACTTTCCGATCAGCCGAATTAAGTTGTGTACAATGTTTATTAAAATTTTGTTACATCCATCAAGTACATTTGGAAAGAACCTCAAGCCATAAATTCTCGACCTTATTTTAAAACCTAAAAAGTTGTGTGCTTAAGAAACCATTTCGATATGAAGATATGCTATAAAATATTATAATTAGATGCCATAGTTGTCGAAAATTTTCCACTTTGAATTTGACTTTTCTGTCTCTGAAAATTTGGGTATGGTGCACTGCCCATTTCCACCACACATTTTTGTTGTAACTTGTTCAAAACAGAAATAAGCTGATTAACCACCCAATTTTGAAAAAGTGTCCCGTTCATCGTTTTGTGGTAATCTATGTCGTTATTTCTCGAATTTAATAAAAAGTTAAATCGAGGAGAGGAACCGTTTTGGTAAATCCATGTTTCGTCGTGGTACACAAACGTTACATCTTCTCTATAATTTAAAATTTAATAAAATATTAAAAAAAAAAAAATGTTTGCTGTAACGACGTGTTTTTCTTCACATGAGAAAGTTTATCTTCCTATGTTTGTAACCCATAGATTTAATAATTTTGAAATGTGTTGTTCTCCTCTGAAATTGCTTCCGTGCATCAGCCAAAAGTTTGTCCACTGTAAAATACTCTTTTTTTTCATTATATTGTCAAATGAATCGTTGCAGGTTTTTTCTCGATACAAAATCATCAAAAATTTCGGCTGTTTTTTTTCGCCGGAGGATGAAGTTGTAGTTTTCGTCTTTGGTCACAAGAAAATTTGAAACAGTTGCACAGCTTAACTATAAAGATATTAGTTTGAAAACAAACATCTACAAGGTCTTTGTAAGTTACAAAAAGTATGCTAGTAATTCTTAAATTTATTTGCTTCGGTCCTAAGTCAGACAGATTTCCTAATTTTATACTTGATTAAAAAAAGAAAAACACGATCTGGTACCTGAAAGTGACAAACTAGCATACATGGAAGATACACGTCGGAAGTGACAGTACAAAAAACACGTTAGTCAATCATGGTAGCCAACAAAAAGAAAGAAAAATACATGGCCCATTCAAGACCAAAAAGGTTGTGAATATAATAATAAATTGGTTGTCCTTCAGGAAATGATACGTAGATTTTTCGCTTAACTGTTTCTAGTATTCGACCAAAAGACAAAAACCACTGCGAAGAAAGAAAAATATCTGCCGATATGTCATCATTTCATCAATCAAAAATATGGTCGATAACGCAAAACATTTAAATAATGTTAGAAGTGCTCTTCTTAATCATCGGGGTATAATTCGCAGTTTATTCTACACTACCAATGTCCCTAAATCGACATTTTTTCGAAAATGTGAGAAAAGTAGCCATATCAGGAGTATATTATCAATTGTGAAATCCATACTCACAGACCAAAATAAACAGGTGTTGCCCCGCTGTCAAAGAGAATTGTAAATTGGCACCTCAATGGATATTTTGAAAATCTGTATAACTAAGTGCATCTGAATAAAACACACTATTATATTCAATAAAAAAAAAACATTCAAATTACTACGTCACTCTCAATGAAGACTTACCCGAGTGAACGTGCAAAAGTAAACAATTCGTTACTAAAGTTATGTTTATTTATGGCTGCAATAGTTTGACTTCGTTACGATGCTGCTAAAAGACAGTATTTTGACGGAAAAATGGGGAACTGGCTATTTATTTTACAGAACCACCTCAAAAAAAATCGGCAAAAATCGAGCAACAAGAACAATCGTCCCAAAAAAAGTAAGTGTATTAATGTTATGGAATGTGAAAAACTGTTCCTACAAAGTGTTTAGTCATCTATAAGGGATAAATTTCCGATTGCATATACAGCGTGTTATTGAAAGGTACGTACAAAATAACATAGGCAATTGGTATCGAAGTATGAGTGCTAACAGTAAAAAAAAGTTCAGGTAAAAGTGTTCTCCTTTTAGAGACAAAAATTATTAAAATTTATGTCCAAATTCGTTGTACGCCTCTGATAAAAAGACCATTTTTCGTTTCTAAGGCAACATTTAGTCTTGACAAAAGTTCTATTGTTACAGTTGCTAGGATTTACTAAAATAAATTAATGTTACCTATTTATCCTTCAGTTGCGTCTAAAAAGGTTGGATAAGGGTTAATTTTCCCCTTATAATTTTGATAACACAAAATAAGTTTTTCAGACTTCTTAGACTTACTGTCGATTTTGTTTTACGTACCTTTCAATAACACCTTATATAAACAAACCTACCTTTATTTAATTTAAGTTTCTTGAGTTTCAGCTAAATAAAAAAATAATAAATTCAATTTGAGAATTTTGTATTCCATAATTTGGGACAGATCTAAAACCTGAAATCAAATTTTGGAATGCGAAATGGTGAAATTTTAATAATTAAAAATCAATTCTTATCAGAAAAAGTCATGAACCGGCAAAGACTTTGTGCTGAACCCATGTATCGACTTGTTAGGTACATTTTTATAGCTGACAATACCGCTACGACTTGCCTCATAGTGGTCACTAATTTTAACTACACAACTTTAATTATGGTGGAGGCGCCGGGCACATCTACGCATTTGTTTACAGCGTAGTTACAGATAAATTAGATACTTTGATATGAAGTTTTTTTTTTCATTACGGCTCGTTATAATGTCACTGTCTGATCCATTTCACCTGTACATAAATCAGATGTTTGTACCCAAGGAAATATTTGAATGTCGAGGTAATTTCTAAATCTAACCTGAAAATATCGTCCACTACTATTTACATCAACATATGTACAATCACCAGTAAAACCCAAGACAGAAATAGGGAAAGCTTTAATAAAAGTGTCAAATACAACATCAATGCATTAATAAGTGAGTAATACGTAGAATTAATAATAAATCAACTTACGATCAGCGGGTTCATCTTGCACTGGCTTGTACCTCTCCCTATGTTCCTCAGCCCTGTGACAAGCGCACTGCCTCTTAGCAATAGGCATCTCATTGTCAGCGCAATTATTCGAATGCTTCCCTTGCGCATCCATGCATCTAACTTCCCTCCTCTGCACCCCGTTGGGACAAGCCCCTTCGCAAACGCCCCATTCTCCAAAGAACCATTTGGGAGCGCACTTCCCGTTGCAGAGTTGCTCCGACGCCGGTTTCAGCCCAGCGGGACAGGTCATTTCATTGGTAATATGAGACTGACCCCTGATTTTGACGACACAGAAGACATCCCGTTTTTGTTTGGCGTGTCCGGAGCATGAGTCAGAGCACGGCGTCCACGGACCGCTGAACCACTGACCTCCACATTGTTTGTCGCTGGAGCACGCCCTCGAGGTCTCCGGTTTGCTGTTTTCACTGCAATTGTGGTGATGAAAGCAGACGGCTAGACGGCTCTGGGTTCCGGTACCGCAGGATTCGGAACAATGGGACCATTCTGTTAGGAGCCATGGGGACGTTTCGCCGGTCAATGACGCGGAGCAGGGGCCGTTCTCGCAGTATTCGGCGTTTTTGGGGCGGTCCTCGGGGTGGCAGCGGCCGCTAGCGCAGCTGACGGAGCGGGTGCGGTGGCCGGTACCGCAGGACACGGAGCACTGAAAGAAGCAAAACGGAATGGATTTTTAGTTTCTCGGGAATTCTAGACCTATAAACAATAGTTTTAACAATGAGTATGTCATTTTTCTTGTGGATCTCAAGATTCTGTTACATTGTATTGTATTTGATTTATTCTGTAATAGCTTAAGCGATTTTTTTTGTTTTATACTAAAGAATTTAGAATGAAGACTTCACGCCAAGGTTGGTAATTTTTATCATCGTAAATAAATAATTCTGAAAAAACATTTACGAGTTTACTTGTAGCAGTAACTTGCTAATGCATAACCAGATTCATTTGAGGGAATTAAGGTTTATTGTCAAACAACAAGGTATTCTGTTTAATAAAACATCACTCTTCCAGATATTATTCTCACACCTTGCAGTGCAAAAATACAAAGTAAGTATCAAAAGTCCAAGTAAATAATAAGAAAACGAGACTATATTTTATTATTATTATTGTGGATAAGTTGGATATCAAACCTAAGTCCAATTATAAGCCAACATAATGAGATAACTGTTCCAAGTAGCTAGAAAAATTACTATTGGATCTTCATTAGGAAGTAATTAAGATGCTTTTTGTTGTTGCGTGTGTTTGTACAGAAGATATCAAAATCTATGGCTGAATAAATGTTGATGATTAGGTGCAATGATGACATTATCAGAACATTTACGTTCGTTGTATCAGAATGTAAAAGACGTGTTTTCTAGAGTCGAAAATAAGAACTCTAAAATATTACAGAACACTACCTAAAAGTCTGGACATTTTTCATAAAAACTTTGTGCACGATACATACAGTCCAAAACGTTTTAATAATGGTCTTGGAGGGAAAGGTCCGAAAACTTAGGATTAAGAAACAAGACATTAACATTCTGTTCTGACTGGTCGACAATTTGTTATATGGCCTACGAGATACTCTTGATCTAGATCATGTTTAACCAACTTGAAAGCGAATTTTAATCAACGCACACCACACTAGCTATCTCAGTGTTCGTTAGAATTTAGAAACGATCGTGTGCGTTGAAATCGGGCAACAAAATAAATGCCATTTTTTTACACAATTTTAACATCTTAATTTTACAAAATTTTAAAAATCAAAAAACCAAGTGGTTCAATCTTGTTGATTTTTTTTTTGTGTACATCGTTAAAACTAAATCGATAAATGAAACAATGTTAAAATGAAACTTACCGAAGACCAAGGCCCAACCGTCCACTCCTGTCGACTACTTCTAAAAGAGGTCTCCGGAGTTTGTGGCAGCTCATTATCCCTAATACTCTCACAAGGTTCCTGTATACAGGGCTTAGCTTGAGATGCTGGTTTTGGTCTTGGACAGGCTATATCGCTCGTGACAATTTTTCGTCCAGTACTCAGCTCCTGGTGACACTGCGGAACATAATGTTGAATTCCTTCACCGCAAGTCACACTGCATGAAGTCCACTGTGCTTCCCAATATGGTGGACAGTCTTTAACGTTGCAGCGAATAGGCTGGGTCATGGGCTTCTCCAAATGGGAACATCGTCTGTCGGGAACGGGGGTCTGGGTGTGTTCTCGGACACAAGTTACCACGGTGGCTTGCAAACCTTAAAAGAAATTTGTAAAGTGTAAATATTTCGTTAGTTTTAAAGCTTAAGTGTTAGTTTCATAAACTTGCTTCCATAGGTGACTCAGACGTTGTTAAAACATCATGTTAGTAGAATCTAAGAAGCATTACCACCGCCGCAAGATTTTGAACATGCTGAAACTCCGCTGATCTTCCAAGCGAAGCGTCTTCTTAATCTAGTTCGTCTATGGACGGGTCGTGCTTCGTCGCGTTGATTCAAGGCGTTTAAGGGGGTTTCTAGGCGGCGAGGCTCCGGGACTCCAGAATCCGAGGGTCGTTTAATTAGTGGAGGAGCTATGAGGGGCGTGTTGGACTCCATTGGAAGGGAATAACCATATTTGACGCCCAGGTTGGTTTGGAAGTTTATGATCTGTTGGAAACAAAAAGTCAAAAAACACATTTCGGTATAGTGAAGAAGTATAAGTTCCAAAAGCCATTGAAGGTTCATTTTAAATATGTTTTTCTTCTGTTTAGCTTTGTTTGACATGATGATATAATCTTTTTTAAAAAAAGAGTCGGTGGAAATTATATAACACTACATTAGTCTACATATTAATTAACAATTTGACTTCTTTGTGACCACTTTTAAATTTTATTGATTTTAACGTTCAAATGAATGTAGCCTTGGATTAATGTTCAAGCAAAATAAACACGTGCTTAGGGTGTCAAGACTCAGGCGACAGGAGAGAATTTATTCGTTTTAATTCGCAAAAACAAACAATACCTGCTTCGTGCAACAGCGAATAATAATCGTAATTTTCTATTTTATAATCTACATGTGTGCTATGATTTTTGTTTAAATAATTTATGTGTGAAATTCTTTATTTTAATATGTCTAATAATGATCCGTACAGAAAAACTGATTGTAGTCGCTAGATCACAGAATTTTAGTCGAAATAACTTTGTACTAAAATAAATTGTTCGAAAACAGTTAAGAATATTAATATTTATAACCCAACAACGACAATAACTATACGGGCCATTTACTTAATTTCTAGTTTCCCGTACAAATGATTTAAATTTACACAAAAATCTGAACGAATTATTAGTGAATTTGTCTTACATGTGTTTGTTTTATCTCACTTCTTTCTAAAATTTTGAATAGTATTATGGTTGTTAAAAAAATACGTTCACATATGGCACAAGCAAAAAATACAAATAGGGGCACTATGACGTGAAAGCAGAAGATTTTGGGGAAAAAAACGAAGCAATAATAAATATAATAGTATTTGTATTATTTATATTGTTGAAAGGAATAATTGTTAGAAGTTCATGACTATTTTAATAAATTTTGCAATAAATGAACAAGTGCTGTGTATTGAAACTCGTGGAGCAGCGTTTTATATATAATATTTAAAAACCTAACACTGTATTACAAAATTTTATTTAGAAAAATTAAATATTCGCAGAATAAATAGAAATAAAAAACAATGTAAAATTCTATCTAATCTGTGCCGAATTTTTGAAATTTCTTACAAATAGTTAAAAAGTATGTCACTGAAGGAAAAAGTTTAGTAAGGTTCCTGTATCACAACAAAAAAAATGTTAGCTGTTACAGGAAACGTTTTAACTTCCAAATTGCATTAATTCGACAATCAGATGTGACACTGTTTATTTATTGGACACATTGTATAAACACAAATTCAAGATTTAAAGAAATAAAGGGCTTAATTTTCAACAGACGTCAGTCGAAAAGATTTATATGCCAACAACAACTAGCTTTAAGGAATGTTTATAATAACTCCATGTTGCAGCAACAGTTTTTGTGAAATATGAAAAGTGTGGAACCCATTCATATTTAACAGAAAACCAGAGAATATAGGAAACTAACAATTTCCAAGATAGTAAAGATATTTTTAAAAATATTCCTGAAATATGTGTTAGCTATACGCGTTATTATTTAATTTCAGCTGATATAAATCAAAATAATTTCAAAACTACTGCACATAGAAGAAGCAATTTCTAGGATTGTATTAAAATGATTGAAAAGAACACACGTTTAGAGGCATTGTTCAAGTGAATGTAGCGCTTCTAATTCCATATAAAATAGCAACAGTGATTACAACATCTGTATTTCTACATTTATGATTTTTCCGTTGGTATTGAAAAATGGTTTCCAATTCAAATTTTGTTATAGCACGTGTAGCAACAATAGGCCTAGATATTTAGAGAAATAAACACTTCAAGTTCTATTTAAAAAACAAATACATGTTTTTCAAAGATTTAACCGCTTAAAATACAACATGTAGCTAACTAGATGAAAATCATTTTGAAACACCCTTTACTTAGTGCTTTGATTTATTTAAAAAATGTTTCAGATAAAATTGAAGCGTTATCTAAAATTATAACCTTTAGAAAAATAATAGATATTTTGAAAAAGTAAGCAGGCAATTTTTCTAAAAACAAAATTAAACTGTTGAGGTAAACAGTCCAGTTTTCTGTAAAAGGGAAAAGTGCAAAGTCACACAAAAATACGGCATTTTCATATTTTAAAACCCACTCAACCTTCACCTCTTTTATTAATACTCAAAAACCTTGTTTTATTTTATCTCGGCACTTCAGCCTCAAGCGTTTAGTACTACGGAGTAATTACGTGGTAATAATTTTGCATCTACGAGAGTTATAAATGCCTGATTTTTAATTTTTAGACATTCAGAGCTATAATTAAACCTTGAACCTGCTTATGCATGAATTTATTACAATTTTAAGAGCCAGTGGTAAACATCGCAATAATCATCATCCTAATTTCAATTTTATACCTAGTAATCTATAACTCTGTCAAGTTCAAGTACTTAAAACACGCTCAACTCCTGAATCGTGCGAATGCACACCCGCGGATGTATTTATAACCGGAAAACTATTTCTGCATTTAAAAATGACGAACAGAACATTATAATTTATATATCAAGTAAAACATACGCGCTTCGGATAATTTTGATGGGGCTTAGAACCAAATTAAAAACGTCTCTGTTTTCGCAACGTTTTTTACATAAAGCACATTGCAAACTGAGGGTCACACAAGCTGATAATGAAAAAAGTAGCGGCCACTTAAAAAGCGCGATTAGAAAACTATAAATAGTCGCATAAGTGCTCTGATTCTATTTACGCGAAAAAACTCGACCTACGCTAACCCTCTCCTAATAATAATAAAACTAAATTGGCCTGCGCTACTGCATCTTAACTTGAACCGCCATAAACAGACTCATAAATAATAAGTATCCGGGAGAATCATTAAGAAGACCTTCAATTGAAATCACTTATCACGCTCATTCCATAAAGTTAACGAGCGGACTTACCATTATATCGACAGGATTGGCCAAAGGTCCTGGCGAGCTGACGGTCTCGTAGGAAGTACCGTCCTGTTTGACGTAAGTGAACCTCGTGCCGGCACCTTCCAATACCCCAGGACTGCTGATCTTCCAATCGCCATTGACGATGAACGATCCATTGGCATTCTTCAAAGCTATAAAGCAAATCATATACAGATGAAGCGCCAGCCTGGCATCCCAAAGCTATCTAAATGACGCGGGCTGATTGCAAAAACATTAGACGTAATGAATTTATTGCCTTCTGCCATTTAGTTCTTTGTAGCCGCGATTCTAAATAAAACGATGCGATTTGCACGTGCTTTCAGATTTGTGTTTCAAATTCGCTATAGAAAATTACCCAACAGTCACGCGGATAATGTGCATGATGCTGTTCTTATGTCTGAAACTACATTTTTTTTTTGTAAGACTTGTCTTGTATTTACAGATTTTTATTATCACTCCTAGTATGAATGAGTTGTGGTAGCTTTACACACATGAATTTGGCGAAAACAGTCCCCCTTGACGTGGTATGTGCTGGTCCGCACAGGAGAATCAATGCAACTTAAGTATAGTTCGTAAATTTCTTGCAGTTTTGAAATATTTGTACTATTATTGTTCAAAATGTTAAATATATTATTATACCATCTTGTGCACGTCTCAACATGCCACTGCATTCTACTCACTGATTAATATAAGTTTTATGTTGTCGTGCAAAACCGTCAATTTAAATACAATCTATAAAAGACTACAGATTACTAATTTTGCCAATTGCAAAGTCGTTCCGCACGTTTCTCAGAAGTTTATATTAAAAAAAAACTGCATTCTTGCTGCAGATATTATTGTTATTAATGATTCTTTTATTGAGTAATCCCATTCCAATTGAATGTGACTTCACGCCAACTGCAGACTCAATAATTTTAATGTTATCTTGCGGTTGTGTCTGATTTTTGCCTTCGATAGTGCTAATTTAGAACTATTATATGCAGAATTAATGAAGGAAAGTTACAAGTTTTAAGTTATGTACTGACAAAGTTCCACTCCCAGATTGATATATTTCGAAAGGGGTTTAGATATGTATAACATCAAAATTATTATTATCTGCAGCAAGCAGTGAATTTTTGAAACTTAAACAAAATTGATAATGTTTTTGCTAAAATTGGATATGAAATTACTCATTCGTAGTAGAATAATACTGTATTCACATATAATGTTATTTGGCCACTGTAACAGAGTAAAGTTGAAAATATTAAAAAATTAAATGATTTACTTCGAAACTTTATTGTATGCGATGTAACAATTAATCTCAACTTAAACGACTGCGACACGAACGACATGTATTACGCAGAAGTGTTAAGTGACATTTCAAGGTAGAGTCTGCTCTAATTCAGTAAATCTTTTGCAAACTGTTTATGTTTGTGTTGCTCCTTGATATTTCGTATAAAGTTTAGAAAATGTGGAACCTAGAATATGTACTTATTTTCAAATGTTTACAAACAGATAGTCCCAAAGCTTTTGCTTTCCGTGACAGTATACACCAAATTGAAGATCGTTTGAGATATGACATTTTTGTAATTTTAAAACGGAAAAGAACCACAAAGAATTCTAAAATCAAAACAGAAAAGAGAAACTGAATTCAACTTCAAAAAACTGCAAAATTAGAAAATTTGAACTTCTGACCAAAGAGGAATATAATGAAATACTAACTAATTCTGAACTTTATTTTTACGTAATACATTGTATATATTTTAAAAGCTCCTTTTTGACTTATGATATTTGGGAGTGTATAATAGGACTTTTATCTTTCTCCATGTAATATCTCTAATTAAAATGATTTATGCTATGTGTACATTTAAAAATCAAAACAACAACACTTAGGTATAAATTACAGTGCCAGAATTTAGCTAGTTCCTTATAATCACTGGGCGGAAAAATATCTTACGGATGCAATTCCCCAGTTGAAGCAAGGTGTGTTTTACGGCGAGTAGCGGGGACGCTTTGATCTGGTCCACAAGGTCGTAGCCAGTGCGTCGCTTGGAGTGTTTACAGCTTGTTAAAAAACTACTTCTATATTACTATATTACTTCAAATAAAAATACTCGATGCCCTTTTTAATTTTTCAAACACATGACCACAGATTTGTGATCTTGAAATGTTATATTATGTTGATATAGTCCAAAAGAAAAATATATTTGTAATCAAACTATCGCCGCGACAGCACTGGATCGAGCGTATGAAACACAATTCCGCGCGTTGCTTATAATCTACTAACCTTATTATTCATACTCTTAATATGTATCGAAATTTGCAGGTCGTTAAACTCTGAACAGGGACCTATCTGATATTCAGTAAATTTAACTTATGTATGTATGTATGTAACGCCCATGTAGAATATTTAGCTAAATGTATTTCTGATGAACAAAGCGGGATGTACAAATTGGTTAGGATCTCTGTCAGGGAGGTTGTTCTAACTTTGTTGGCCTAAATTACACTAATGGACTATAAAATTTTATTAGTACACAAAAATAGGGCGTGATGAATGCATTTGTCAGTTAATAAATACCGGCATAATGTATATTAGCTATAAAATATTGTGTTGGTCCTCTTTCTTTATTTCCGGGGTAATGATGTAGACATTAGAATAAAAATTCCCTCTGACCAAAATGACTCATTATTTCAAATATATCCACTTACACTAAATCTTCAACACAAACAACGAAACAACTTAAGAATTTAAATATTCGAACATTAATGTTGAAAACTTGAAATTTGAAGTTCACTTTCGGTTCCACGACGACGCGAAAAATTGAGGCAATCATTGGAAAGTTATTTGCTACTTTAGCACATGGGAACGTAGCAACTGTCATAGCAATTTGAAAGTAAATTGATGACTTAATTCCATTCTCTCGCGAATAGCACAATACACCCCGCAATTAGTTTTGTTTTTCATTAACCAGATTGCTTAGATTTGTTGATAACGATGTGATCTCATCTAAATAGTTTCAATGACACTATATCATTCATTTTCTATTCTTAGACTGTAAACCATGGATTACCAAACTATTAGTTTTTTTTATACATGTAGGTTTTAACTGGTGCAACAGGAATTACATAACGTAAAAATAACTCAAATACCAAAAAATTAATTAAATTTAGGTATTTGGCATTATCCGGAATTGTTACAACTGGACTTTTGTTTAAATGAAACGTTTTACGCCGGAAACAAAAAAGAGATATCAAAGAGAATTTTACAATTGAACTAATTACTCACCTATTGAAAGTAACTAAAGAAAAAAGCCAACAGTTGAAAATTGAAAAACAGCATACCTATTAAAATGTCCATTTTTAAAATTTGCCGAAATTGAATAATAATTATGTTTAGGATCTTTTTTATTTTATTTATTTTTTTATTATACTTTTTAATACAACCTTATTCTTTAGTGTAATTACTAAAAATTTAAAAGACATTGATGAACTTAAATTCGAAATTGAAAAATACTTTCGATTAAAAAACACGAAAAAATTTTGTGGAGCAGCTACTTTTCTTAAGTTAATTTACTAAAATTACTTTTCTTAAGTTAATTTACTAAAATATTATTCTGCAAATATACGACAATCACGTTTTATTTACACAATAAAATTAATTAGTAAAATTTTGTAAAATTTTGTTGTAAAATGTTGATTTTTTCCGACAATCAGCAAACAAGACAAATACAATTACAAATGAAAAGGTTTCCAAGGGATGGTTTAGAAAATGGATTAATTTAAATTTAAAGCACAAAATGACGCAAATCCGACGTGTCTGAACCGTCGTAAAACATTTATAATTCTTTTGTAATATTCCTTTAGCTGATAATTTCTTTTATCTGTCTTTATCCGTTAATTTGGTATAATAAATTTTAAATTGCGCAAAAAAGTGGAAATTTTGTTATATCGATCGTGAATTGTGAAATAACATTTTACCTTCCTTATTTGGATAAAATTATACGAAACACTTGTGATCGCTTTATTTTTTATTTAAAAAGATATCACAGAATTTCAACTGTAATAAATCAACTGCATTACTTACAGACGTCAAGTTTATTTTAGTAATTGATGAAGAATTAACTTTGAAATGCATCATTTAGATCAGTAAATCTTCGTTTTAATACAATTAAATTACTTATATTTCAAACCCCTTTATTTCACTTAATTATGAATTAAAAGTTATACCATATATAGCCGCAGATATTTAGATGTTAGGGAACTATAATTTAAATGCAATATTTCTTTAGCTTACGCAAAGGAAGTAAAAACAGCAATTGCACTTTTCTTACTATTACTTTTCGAGCATAAGCTGGTGGGTTTATCCGATGAACAACTAATTTCATGTTTTTGCGGGGTTTCGTAACCCCTAGAGTATGAAAACGTATTCCCCCCATTTCCGTCTGACTGTCGTTTGTTGGCAATTTTGTAAAACATTTTATAAACTAACGTATTTCTATACTTGGGGTCTATAAATCCGTCTTTATTTTTTAACTTTGCATCCCGATTCATAAAAAAATAAAATTCCCAAAATTAAGTTCTACCTCATTCGTAATGAATTTTAACTTGGTAACTTTTTCACTATTTTAATACCAAGAGACCAACAACTAACAATGGGCCATAAGTGTCCAACAAAATTATGTTGCAATCCTAATTAAGAAAAGTCTGGACCATTCAGTAGAAGTTATTTATGTGACAACTGTGTAAAATATAACTCTCTTGAGCCAAGGTAAACCTACAAGTTCAAAAATTGGTCGAAGTTTTTTGGACAGAACTTCCCTAGCCTGTGAAGTACAGTAGAACTAATACTGCTTCTCGGAAAAATTATGAATTTTAATTTTACGACTTTTATTTATTTTTTAATGATAACCGCTGTAAGATAAAATAAAGATGTTTGGAATGGTAATTTAGCATATGTGCGTTTCAAGTGAGTTTTTTTTAGTAAAATTTTGTAATGACGTCATCATTTTTTAGTAGGGGTGCTCAGACAAATTTTGTTTAGCATTTAACATGTACACGATATTTCTAAAATACATATACATTTTTGGACAAAAATATACAAAATATTCAACATTCTAAAATGCAACAAAAATCTCTACGACAAAAGTAAAGCAACAAGTGCACATGCCATTTTTTATTGATTATAACAAAACCAACAGAGGAAAATAACAAAAGCAAACCATGACTTTAGTTTATTTAGGTTAGTAGTCGATGGCATATTCATTATTTTGTAAAATTTTTTCACAGTGGCATGGCATTGAAAAAATTACATTTTGTATGACCTCAGCGGAGAGGGTTTTCTATATTTCTTGGATTTTTGGTTACAGACTTTATTTATTCGTGAATATAGACTGAGTTGGCCACTTCAAAACCTGGATATGGTTTTTTCTTGAAATCACTATTAACAATCCGTGAAGCATATTTTATTTCTCACTCTGTGTAGCGTAGCAGAGGTTCAATTCTAGACAAAATGGTTAAAAATTGAAAATGTTGCTTTATTTTTGTTGCTTTATCACTGTCGTTTTTATGCTAACAACAAAATTTAACGCAAGGGTTTTTATTCTTATGAATCTTTGTTACCGCTGATGACAGCAGTCTACTATAACGTTTTAAAATTGATAACAATTACGTAAGTGATTAATAATTGTACCAAAAAATTTCAAAATATTAATATTTTTCAAAAAAGTTAGTCTAATAGTGTAAGTATAATTTCAGAACGTTCAGTTGGATAGTTTTGGAGATAGCCTACCTGACAAAATCGTCTACACCCCAGATAGGCAGATGGAAATGCGAGACCTATTTTTTCAAACTCTAGAGATATGTCATGAAATGTCGTGAAAATATGAATAAAGTGGTGGGTAGATCCCATTACAATATTTCCCTAGCTTACGCTCGGGAGGTAAAAAGATACTTTACATATAATGAAACTCATATAATATGTTACGGTGTTATAAAAGGAGTTTTTGAAAGTGAAATTTAGAAAAATCATTTTAGTTATTACCCAAATTCATAGTTAAAGTTAATAACAAAAAATATTAACACATGAAAGTGGGTAAAATAACTACTCTACATATAAGTATACCTACTACTGCAGAAAAAATATGTTTCTCTTTACTGTTTGCCTACTCTGGCTTTCGCTGTGTGTAAAGCTGCTACACTGTTACTCGACACATCTTCGTAAATCTCCGTTCTGATTAACGACTTAACTGCTCAACTTGGCTCGAAACTTAACATGCATTAACGTTTTTTTTTTTATTATTTCCGACTACGAGTTTGCTGCTGCTCTACTAAGAAGCACCATAATTCCGCAGTAAACTCTATTTGATCCCGAACTTCAATCAAGTGCCTTACCTAGATGATTCCTCGTATGCTTCAACTGCTGCACCAATATTCTGCAAGCTCCTTGAGGAATCTGCGCCACCAAAGAGTATCCGGCGGGCAAATCCGGTCTCGTGTACAATCCATTTAAGCTCCTACACTTCCCCTTCGTACAGGCAGCGCACTCTTCCTGATTATCGTCGACGCTGCCGATTACGCCATTTGCGTTAACGCTCTGCAACAAGATCAAAACAACATTATTCAATTGGCTCCGAGTAGTGGAAGCTAATCAAGCGTAATTACATAATTGCATGGAGCTTTTGCTGCCAAGGCCGTACCTTGTCTACGATCTCGTCATTCATTTGCATAAAGACGGGGCGTAATTGCTGATAGAAAAATTTATTTCGAAGGCTACGTCTGTGGATGACTTTCGACATTAGATAATCGAATTGTCTGGGAACAAATGGCTCAATTTAAGAGTAACGTTTTAAATTAGGACGACTTGTATTCGGTTTGGGTCTTTGCTCGATGTGTGGCCGTTAGTTCAATTAGCTGACGCTTGTGATGATCTGGATGGAGGCTACGGTTTGTAGATGTTATCGGAAGCACACGAAAACAATTAGGAGGGAAGGCGCTTGTGGAAAGAAAAAATAATTGGGTGTAATAAAGATAGGCTCTTTCGATGTCTTTTGATGTTATTTTATACGAATCAAATGTGTGTTGAACGCATAAAAATAGTGGCGTTCAACGAATGCAACTAGTAAACGAAGTTCTTCCATTCACCTCGTGATATTGTTGAGATTTTAATAGTTATCTAACAAGTCCTTAATGAGAAAATGTTATGTACTTTTTTACGGTGTAAAATAAATTTATTACTAATCACGCAAGATTATTTTTTGCTTTATTAAATATGCGCAAAAACATTGAAATATCTGGGAAAAATATTTCGCAACAGTAAAGTGAAACAAATTTGAATTGCTGCCAGAAGAAGTCTGTCAACAAAATAGTACTATATTGAAAAAATCTTGGAGAGTTAGATAAGCCATTTTTTATTTAATAACAAAGTCATCAAGAAAAAGAGCAAACAACCGTTACTAAGTTGGATATTCTAATTCTAAATCTACACTCAGTTTTTTTTTCTGACACGTCATATTCTCAAAGTGATAGACACAACTATAGATATATAAAAAGTGTTCAATTGAAAACGTTATGAAATTGTCTTTGTTTTTTTAGTAAAAATGCATGTGTTTTATTGTGTATAAATGACATTTGACAGAGTTGTTGAAAAAGGTTGATTTTATTATAGAACAGGTGGTATCATTCCACGTTATCAGCTCTCATAGATTAAATATTAGGTTTATTGACATACTTCAATTTAATTAGCAAAATTCTGAGGTGACGTCATTGAGTTTTTAGAATGAAGTAGAAAATGAATTTTGGTTTTCAATTTAAATTATAGAATTTTGTTGTACAATTTTGATTTTCTTTCGAAAAAGCAACATCCGTAGATTAAGTATCGAAGTTGATTAATAAATCACAAATTGAGAAACACCTTTAAGGGTTTTCTATTTTGCATCCTAAAGGATTACAAATATCTCATTTGCTATGGGTTGCAACCTCTGTGAAAGTAATTGATAAATAATGATTTAAAATTAAACACATTAATTCAGGCGTCATGTAAAAAGTGCTGCAAAAAAATCAAATTGTAAGTAAAAGGAGGCAGTTTTAATAATAAAATTATTAATGTTGTGAAAAAGCAAATGACCCGGCGTTCACCGCATACTCCATATTAATGTGACTTATAATTAAGAGAAATGTTAACTTTAACCCGTTTGGACACATGCCACTGAAAAAAAATATACAGCCCAAAAAGCAAGTTACTTGGGACAATAACCGTAATAATACACCGACCATTGTTTTCAGGGCATATTCGTACCACTTCTAATTAATGTTGTGCAAACATTATTGAAGTGTGTTGTGTGTAACTTTGTGAAACTTGAAAATAGTGTGATAATTGCAAGAAAAAACAAATAATGGGACAAGTCCTTTAGCTGTAAGATAAAATTATTGGTGACAGTGTATATTGTCATTATTTAAAATAATAAGGAATGGCAGTGTACAAAATTAAATTCATTTTGACACAAGAAGGATACACTGATTTAATTATATAAAATTATTCAAAAAATAAAATTTCACTATTTCTCAAAATCCTAAAATTTCTTCACAAATTTTTGTATTGACTGTACTTTGTTATCTGAATGTTTTGAATTTCACTAGTTTATCTTTACAAAATAAAAACTAAACAAAGAGGTAAGTTTCAACTGAAATATGTATCCTGTACATTTAATTAATATTTTGTAGCCAAAAAATATTGTAGACAGATTTGTCAGAAATGAAAGTCATAATATGCACAAAGATTTTTTCATTGTTTAAAATTTAAAATTTTTAAGTTTGAAAAATTGCAGTTTATGAAAAACTCTAAAATTCAGTCTACCCGTTCTCACATGGTTGTAGCGTCACAACAAGGTCAAATTAAATTACACAACCTGGAAACTACAAATGTGAAGAAAACTTCTTTAGTTTCTACAAATAATCTAGAAAAAAAGTTTTCAATTTTCAAACATTTTTCAAAAAGTCGTTAAATATGGTTCTCCAACCGAACTCAAGGGACGCTATTGAATAGTTAGTCTTATGAATTCGAAATAGTCTCAGTGACATTTCTACAAATAATCGAGATGAACGAGTTTACAATTTTCAAACAATCGAGGAAGGCGAGTTCATAATTTGTCAAAAATTTCAAAAAAAAATACTCCTAGCATAGGTAATATTCCTTAAATTAAAATTCATAAATCATCCTGTCGATATCTACACAAATGATCGAGGAAAACGAGTTTCCACTTTTCAAAAATTTTCCAAAAATCGTCAAATATGGCTCTAATGGACCTGACGAAGATATTGCGGAATTGTTAATATTCCTTAAATTACAAAGCGTAAATTGTTCTGCCAACGTGTGTAAAAATAATCGAGAAAATATAGTTCACAATTTTCAAAATTTTTTCAAAAAGTCGTTAAATGTGGCTGTAATCGACCTGAAGGAGATGCTATAATATATTCAGTATATCTTAAGTTACAAATTCTAGATTATCCTGGCGATATCTCTACAAATAATTGAAAAAAATCACAATTTTAAAAAACATTCCAAAAATTGTTATATATGCATGTAATTGACCTTAAAAAATGTTAGAGCATAGTTAATTTTCCTTAAAATACAAATCCTAGATCGTTCTGTCGGTATCTGTACAAATAATCGAGAAAAAATAATTCACAATTTTCAAAAATTTTCCAAAAATCGTCAATTCTTTGTCCAATCGACCTGAGAGAGATGCTGTAGAATAGTTAGTACTCCTCAAATTGTGAATTCGAAATCGTCCTGGTGATTCTGGATTCTGGATTTTTAAATTATGGGGGCTGACCGTAGCCAGCCGGCACTTAGGCCTCGCCTTTGGGCCCATTGTACCTTCCCCAAGTCCATATCAGGGTGTTTTCCCGCTCCTCTACTCGTCAAGCCACCCAACTGCTTGAATGTACCTGAGTAATGCAGAGGGTGGAAACTCCCTGATATTTGCCATACTAGGCCAGATGTCCCCTAGTATGGATTCCCTGTAGGAGGCTAGGGCTGGACACTCACGAAGAATGTGCTCAGCTGTTTCCTCTTCTTCATTGCATCCACGACAGATCGGGTCTGTTACCACCCCTATCGTATGTAGATGTTTGTTAAACTGGTAATGTCCCGTAAGGAATCCTACCAGTTTACGCAGTTTGTCCCTTGAAAGTGAGAGATAAAATTTCGTCAACTTACGGTCTGGTATCGCCATACAAGCTCTACTATGCCGACAGCTGCTCAATTTCACCCATATCTGCTCATGGCGTCCCTGGGTGTATTGCTTTACGAGTTCGTTCGAAAGGGCGACCGAAGGCGTGATTGCCGGTTCGGGTCCCCAGAAGGGCATGCGCGCGGCTCGCTTCGCCATCTCATCTGCCCTCTCATTTCCTTCGTTGCCACTGTGTCCTTTGATCCAACAAAGTTCCACACTATTCCTCTGCGTTACATACTTTAGCGTTTGTCTGCACTCCCAAACCAGCCCGGTCCTGGTGATATTTCTACAAATAATCGAGAAAGAAGTTTCAATTTTTCAAAAATTTTCCAAAAAATTGTCTAATATGACTCTAATGGACTTGAAGAAGATGCTATCACTTTGTTAATCTTCCTTAAATTCCAAATCGTTTTACCGGCATTTGTATAAATGATGAAAGAAAATTACATTTTTCAGAAATTTTCCAAAAATTCGTTAAAATGATTCTAATGTACTTGAAAAAGATGCCATAGCATAGTTAATATTCCTTAAGTAATGAATCCGAAATCGTGCTCTCTTAACATAATCTAGAAATTAAACGAGTTTAGAATTTTCAAAAATTTTTCAAAAAATCGTCATGAATGTTCTTAACGACCTGAAAAAAAATGTCACGGCGTAATTAGTATTCCTTAAATTACGAATACGAAAACGTGTTTACTATTTTCAAAAAATTTCCAAAAAATCGTGAAAGTGTTTCAAATTTATTTGAAAAAGATACCATAGAAGCAGTTTTCTTTTAAATTTTAATTTTGGTTTCTGAAATAAAGTGTATGTATCTTCAATCTAAATTTTGTTGTTGCTTTTAATGCGTCTTTTATGTGATTGTTGTTTTATTGTTGTCAAACCAAAATCATGAAACTTTTTTTTCAGGTAACCTACTTCAAAAAAATTCAGTAGCATCATTTTTTATGAAAAGGCTTCTTATCGTATTTTATACAACTAATGCCCCTGATATGCATAGGCATAATGTCATCAACAGACAAAAAATTTTTATCAGAAAGAACGTCTGAAAACAATTATAATAATTGTCTCACTTCGTTAGCTTTTAACAAGAGAATATAAATTGGAAAACTGACAAAAACTTTGTGGTCTAAATTTCACGTGCAAAAAAAATTCAGATTGGTGTTTAGCATTTCATGTCTATGCAGTATAACTAAACTTAACTTCATTTATTTTGCCGTGAAATTACAGGTTTACAACCTTTCATTATCTGACCACTGGCGGATCTGTAACCGCACTAATTTCGTAGTCGTAGGCATTGTGGTCAACAAAATACAACATATACCTCCAAGCTCTATAGAAATAATATTAGTCGTCTAGC